GTTTCATTGCTTCAAGATGTATTTACCCACGTTACGTAATTAATTATTCAATGTTTTCACAGTGGAATACAGTCATACCTCGATTAATGTATAGAATACGTTGAACGAAATTACTTCGTTAATCGAATCTTTCTTTCCAGAAGTAAACATTTCTTTAGTAAAGAAACATTTGTATTTCAATTTATTCATTAAACATTAATTAAACTGATTAAAAAATTACGTTATTTCTTCTTTAATTTCGTTTTTATTTTCTTTTTCATCGTTACTAACAATGCTTTCTAAATCTTACACACAAAAACCATAATTTTATGTCCATCTGGATAACTTTATAACTAATTTCATGTTACTTTCTTCTATTACTACAAACTCTTAGAGATTAAAACATTTTTTTTAAGTTAAATTAACTATAAATTGTGGACTTCGTTATAACAGGTCGTGCTTATTTACTGCAATTGATATTTTTTTAATATCTAAAACAACAAGAGGAAAACAAAGTAATTTTGTGTGATTATTTTAAAATAAAAGTATTCTGCACGAACATTGTATTATTAAATTGGTATTACGCAATAAAATCAGTTTTAGATCATGTTAAATTAATTAAATAATAAGAATTAATCCGTGTTTGTTGTAAAAATTAATCATATTTTTGTAATATTCAATAAACGGGTCATTATGACCCGTACTTAGTATTTGTGTTTTACTTAATTGTCCGTAGTAGTTCATATAAAATAATGAACGTTGACACTATTTCAAATCATGTTAAAAGAGAAATAGAACGGAAATTTGATGTAAAAATAAAAGCAGCAATCTCCACACTAATCTTCAATCATGGTCGCAAATTACCGACGCCAAAACAACATTAATCATTTCAAAGGAAAATCTCTGCGTATAATAAAGTTATATGTGTATCTTTCTGTGTATTTTTGCATTATTATTTAAGAAACTAACCAGTATTTTACTCATAAAATTATAAGTATTTTTCATTTTAAATTAGATTTTGCGTGCAGATTAAGAGTATTATTAGACATATAAATAAACAGACATAATCATAAAATATAACTTTTTTACTTGAGTTAAATATATTATCTTCAATTAACCATAAAATTATATAACACTAATCCTAATTTAGTGTTAAACATTTCATAAGACAAATCTTATAAAAAAAATAATATTTTTTTGTTCTTATCTTCTTTAAACAAATTAAAGTACAACAGTTTGCGTGACCTTGTGACATTATTCTAATGTAAAATTATTGTTTTTAATTACGAATACATCCCACGCCAATGTTTATTCTACTTTATTTATACAATGAGTGACGTTATCAGATAAGAATATAAAAGTCAATGTTGCACAAACAATAACAGTGACCTTGGCAAAACACTGCTCTTCGCGAAACCCAACGATGAAAGAGATAGAGGCAGAATACAATATAAAAAAAATGTGCACAGACTGCATTATTCCGTCTGCACTCGTTAAACTAAAACTCTTTCCAAGACTTTCCTCCAATTAGGACGAATGCTGTATGAAAATTCTACAATAATATTTCTCTTATGATTTAGAGAAATGCTCGACTCTTCTGTTTTGAAAAATAAATTCATTCTGATGATACTTTCTACAATTAATTCAAATGCAGACTTAAAGTTTGATACCCATAAAAATGTATATATATATGTATATATGTATGTATAAATTATTAAATATAACATTATTGTTGAAAACATCCATTATTTGATTTCATATTTGCTAATTTCCAACATATCTAACTAATAAATATGATAATAACGTAAAGTCGAATTGGAAATTCCAATAGTTTTCTTTATAAAATGTGTGCACGTACTGCAAAATTATATTTTAATACGTTTATTGTATGCTGGTTATTATCCAACCACAAAATTACGTCATGCCTTTTTTAAATAATTTATTGTTTATTTAAGATGGGTTTGCGAAAATAACGATCCGGAGGAGCGTAGAAACGGCCATTAAATGTTGCTGTGAGCTTATCCAGAAACCGGCTGCAAACTTTGAAAGTTTTCACATTTTTGTTGTCTCTCCGAATTCTTTTCTTGCCGTCCGCGAAACTGCTGATACCTGCAAGGTAAATTAACTCTCCAAATGGGAGGAGTGTCGAAGAGATGGGCAAATATTTAGCAATCCAGTTTCATTGCTCTCGCGATAAAAGTAAATGAAGTATATATAATATGATTACAGTCTTATAGATTGGACGAGAATTTATTACTAAATGGAAAGTGTAAATAAACTGCAGTTGATTATTGAAATTCGTTTAGATACGCTCAAGCTTTTAGTGTAATTCGTTTAGAGATACGTAATAACTGTTTTATTGAAATTATAAAAAAAGCATTTGATAAATTTTAATTAGAGAGAGAAAGCTGCATGACAAAATTGAAAAGAAAAATTGTCTCAGATGACGAACAATTATTTGATGTTTTTGCTTTTCTTGAGCAGCATATGAACTTGTGCAATATCACCGGAGTCTGGATCCTACAATTATCTCCATCATATGAAAATATGTTGTACAGCCTCAAGTCACATCCACTCCCTAAACTACAATTACCGGTTTATTTTGAAAGAGAAATTTATGTGCGCGGCCAGAGATTCCTCTAAAAAAAAAGGCAATTAGTTAGACTGGATGCCCATCGTCGGGAATTGCGCAATACAAAACAAGATGTGGTTCGATTTTAGGAAAATTACGTAACGCTAATTATTAACATCCCTTCCGGCGTCGGTAATCATTAAATTGCAGCAGTAGACAATAAAGAAAAGATCAACGAACTGCTTACAGTCTTATGCAAGTCTTTTCGTGCTTAAACAGCTGACGGAAATCGCGGAAGGAATCCGGAATCAAGTTATTTGCATATTATACAAATTTGGGTGTGTGTTTGTGTTAAATAAAATTGCACGGCGATTAGAAACTCAATTTTTTATTAAAAAAAAATAAAAATTGCATAAGTTTTTTTTTTAACTTATGCAATTTTTATTTTTTTTTATTATCCAATCTCGAATGTTAATTGGAGAGAGTATTAAATAACAATTTTTTGAATTGCAAAAATTATAAATTTATCCACAATTATTGAATTTTTAAATCATTCACGTGTTGCTATGAATGGGAATGTAGCGAGTACTCGCACAATGCTGTGCCTTCATCCATTCGGGTTCAAAGTTAAAAAAATGAAAAATTGACGTTCGAAAATGCAGTATTTTTACAATTAACTGATTTTCTCGTAAACTATAATAGATTGAATGAATCATACAATCATAAAAATGCAGTATTTTCACATTTACGTAATTTTCTTCAAAACCACAATAGATTGAATATATTTAAAAGATTCATATGAAAGCTGGTTGTTTAGGGAATGTAGCGATTATTCATACATTACTGTGGTTTTATCCATGTGCAATTCACGATCAAAATTGAAAAAGTGAAAAAATTATGGCTCAAAATGGCAATGTTTTGACATATTAATGATTTTTTTCGGAAACAATAATACAGGGTGGTATGATGCAAAGAGACAGCATCATCAGTAAGAGTAAATGTAAGTAAGTAAGCAATGTTCACACATAAAAATTTTGGATTTTACCTTAAAACTTTTCTCATTGGAAAGGAATTTCCCTTTTTCGTTTTTCCAATCAATTTACTGAACTCGTTACTTTGCAACGCTTCTGAAAAGTAAAAAAAATATCACGTAGTAACAAAACTGTAGCACAAGTACGAGTAAGCAATAATTCATTCACTAATAATGTTCACAATTTTAATATCGTTGATCGCTCCTGGTGTTATCTCCCATATAAATGAATATCAATGAACGATAAAACAAAGACAATACTATTACAATAATATTGGAAGTGTTAATAAGTTATTGATAAAAAAAATGTTACCTTTCTTAATAGAATCCAAATCCATTTTGTGGTATTTTATAAAGTATATTAACTGTCGGAATTTAAAACTTAACGGTGTAGCGACTAAGATATCCGAACGATTACTGGACTTTAGCAGAGCCAGCATTATAACTATAATAACATATAAGGGAAACAATAAGTAAGTACGTGACATCCTCGGAATAATTTCATTCGGACTGGGTACTTTTTATGCACAGACCTTTTCTAGTAAATCATTAATTAATCGTATATACGTTTAACTGTTTCATATTTATTAATTAACACATAATAATAATAAATATTATTAAATTATTTATACACTTTAGTTTATTTTGATTTATTTGTTTAAAAGTTTTATTTACTTATTTGCTCTATTTAGGGTACCTTTTTAATATAAGATCATCATTATTATAATTATTAGTAAATAAATCAGTTTAATCATTTGATATATAAAAAAAATTACTTTTAAATGAATCAAATGTTATTTGCATACATTGAATAATGATGATTCAAATAATTGTTGTTGTGGTCAGCAAGTTGAATAGCAATTGTAAATGTAAATAAGAACATAAAACAAGCTTTAATTTAATGTTTTAAACTTAAAACACATGAATAAGTATTCAATTTTTTTAAAGAAATAGTAATAGCTAGTTTATTTAATAGGACTGCCTTTAATAATGAAACCCTTCCGTCGAAATTAGAAGAAATAGCAACTTTATAGTTAATAATTACGTTCCTTATTACTTAGATACTAAAGTGATGGTATTAATTATTTGTAAAAAAATAATAGAAGTATGGATAAGACAATATTAAGATATTGTAAATATTGCATTATATTGCATAATGTAATATATGCAACCAACTGTCCTTAATATATTTATAGTTTTTTTGGTGTTATTTCTATAAATACGATAGCTTCGCCAATAATGAAGAAAGGCTTAGTGCAATGTTAAACTATATGTTAAGATTCTTAAATAATTCTTTAAAATAAACGACACAAGCGTAAAATGACCGTATTTATATAATATATAATTGACCAAAAATTCAGTTTTCTTTGAGTGGACTACTCCCCACCAATCAACCATAATTTGAAGGTCATGTGGAGGTCACGTCACCTCGATATTTGTTTTATTTGACTGTTGGTGAATGTTTTTATTTTATATTGTTTTTAAGAACAAGTTCCATCCAAATGTACCGGTGTATATGTACGGTTAAAACTATAAGTCGTTATTACACATTCGACATTATCTTTCAGTAATCTCCAAGTGGTCAAGGCATTTATAATAAAATTCCCATTTCCTTTGTTGTAGATAGTTGCTAGGCTATAGTGCTTTCAAATATGTAACAAATACAGGTACACAGGGGTAATTTAACTGTTCTATATTTATTTATATAAGGGTGTATATAAGGTGAATAAGAACGAACATTACAACACCCATATTGATTATGTAAAGAGCCATCTACTAGTACATGGAGAACTAAATAGTAGTTTATAGTTAATTGCAAATTTACTATAGACAATACAAGTGTATATTATAGACTAGCACTAATGGAAATACGTATATCATGTAGAAAGACATCGTATATGTATTTAGGTGTATGGAAAAGGGAGAAGATTCTGGTTGAACCATAATTAGGTATGGTCGGTAAAGTAGGAAACGCAAGCGTTGGCATCATTGGTGTATATTTTCGGCGTGCTATCTTTTGTAATAAAACCAAGCCAAGATGGATGAGTTCTTGTCTTGTACAAACAATTTTGTGATATTTAACTCTTAAGAAACGGCGTACACAGACAGATATAAATTAGTTTTTAGTTGCGGCAATTGGATATTTGGGTTTTAGTTTATTGAACAGTGCGAGCGTTATTGTAATGTGGAAAGCGTTGTGTTTGAGTGGTATTTTTTTCTGGGAAGCAATAGTTCGCGGGATCCAGCGTAATACAATCGATTTACTACAGAACAAGTGCAATTGAATAACGCCTTCTCTTCGACGACGACACCGACATTGTACAATAATATAAAATAGCACTCCCGATTGTTAAACCCAATAAAGGAGACACAAAATAATTGTTAGTGTTTTTTAATTTTTTAGGTATTTTCATCTTATGAACATAACCAAAAGCACACCCACCACCTACCTCTACTACTTGGGAGATAGAAATACAAAATAATTTATATTTATTTTTCATTTTGAATTCCCATTTGTATTATTTAATAATAAAATTGTTTCATAAATCTGTTATCCCTAAATAATGCACATCAATTATTATTATTTTTTTGTACTTTCCATTCAAAGCTTTCTATTTCGTTTTTCTTTTCCCAAATTTATTTCTACCTACATTTATTAATTGTATCCTCAAAATTTCTCTTCAAGCCTTCAAGAGCTAAGTCTTTTCCTAAATGTTCATAACATTTTAAATAATTATTTTACATTCATTTATTTTTCTAATTTGAGGTTATTTTTTGTAGGTTTAATTAGACAATGTCGAGTAGTACCTTTAATGTAACAGAACCCGACAGTAGTGATAGTCTCACATTGATTGTATCTCCCAATGGAACGGTGACACCAGACAAAGAAACTGTAAGAAAATATCTGAGTAAGTCTTATCATTTTACTATTATATATATTTTGGATTTGCAACATAACACTCCTGTTTTGTTTTAGGCACAAGACCATCTGTTGACATAAATGTAATGAGAATGAAGAAAATAGAAGCAGGTGCAGTCAATGTGACACTAGATTCTTTGACATATATAAATTCTGATGAAATAGAAGGTATGTTTAATTTGTTTTATTTGTTTCCAGTTTCATTAGTATTATAATTGTAGATCAAGAAGAAATGGATGAAATAGCAAGAAATTTGTTGAACTTAAAAAGAGATCATGATTATACACCATTGACTTCACCAATTCACCAAAAATCAGATGATCCAGCAGAGGATGAGCTTGCCCAAACATTAAGTATGCTAGAGGGTGGTAATTTGATGAGGCAAGAACCACTGACAAAAATAACAAAGATTGTGAAAGGAAAGAAACAAACAATTTTTGTAAACAGTAAGCAGAAAGCTAGAATGATTAGTACTGGTCTGCTGAAGGAGAAGCCATCAGAACGTTTATTCAAGAAACCTAAGCCTAAGGTGATTGAAATTGTTCAAAAGAAAGAAGAAATTGTAGAACCAAAGGAAGAACCTGAAGATAGTAGTACATATTCAGATGAAGATGATATTGCTCAAGAGAATGATGACAATGATTCAGATTTTGAACTTGAAGATGATTATAAACCTTTAAAACCTAAACCAAGGACTAGAACTCGTTCTGAATTAAATAAAAAAAGATTTAAACAAATAAAAGTAAATAAAGATAAAATTGAACCTGAAATTCATAAAACAAATGACGAATCAACAGAAAAGCTTGTACCAGAACCCAAACCTACCGACAAAAAAATTACCCCTAAAAAAGAAAAGAAAGTTCCAAAACCGTTACCCGATGATTTTGCCCTGTTTTCCACTCCTGATATCATTCGTCGTGTGAAAGAACCCGAGTCCCCAGAGAAGTTAACCCCTCCAAAACCCGCGAAGGTACAACCACCAAAAATTCTAAACTCTGAACTGAGAATGAATAGAAATAGCACCGAGAATCAACGAAGACCCAGCATTGATAGCAAACCTCGACCAGATATTGTGTCTGTACCAAATATTGTTACCAATAAAATGGAAGATCAAGTTACAGTCCAAGAAGTTCTGAATACATCTAATGAGTCTATACCAGAGGACCAACTACAACCAATTCCTAGCGCCGAGGACATACGCGCTATTATTCAAAATGAGAATACCAAGTCTTTTACAACTAGTTTGGTAATACCAGATATTGCACCAAATAGTGCAGATGACCAGAATGTTAATAATATGAACCTTGATAGTGGTGGTTTAGAATTGGATCAGAGTTTACTGGATAACATCAGCTCTGATATGATATCAGAAGACATTCTTTATCAGGTGGCTCAGTCACTTGTAGGCAATACAGAATTGCAGAATGTTATTGACAAATCTATAAGTGAGGGAAATTTAGTATTGGATTCATCCATGCAAAATGATACATTAACATTGCCAGAGGAAGTTCAACATCCACAATTACCAGACAATCTAAACCATCAACAGGTAAATTTTAATATTAAGAAAAAATATTGATTTTTAATAGATTTTGTATTGTATGCCTATAAAATTGTTTGTTTGTTAATGTCTGGTTAATATATATATTACTGTATTAAAAATTGGTTAAACTGATCTGTCAAAATTATAATAATTGTTTATTTAAGGTACCAACAGTAACAAATGTTGTACAAACTAATCATCTTGAAGAAAATCAAAAGAGTGGAACACAAATTGTTAGGCCAGATGGTAGGGTTGTTATAATACCTCCAATTGAAAGACCCACAACAAGAAGTAGAAATAAAAAGAAAGACCAATCACCAGTTCGACAATTGAAGTAAGTACTCTGTCTTCTGTGATTACTTTAATACTAACTTTGGATTTCTTATAAAGACCTGTGAAAAAACCATTAGATGAAGAACATGTCTCTGGCAATGAATTAGATAGTGAAGATGATGAAGAAGAGTCTGAAGATGATCCAAACAAATTGTGGTGTATATGCAATCAACCTCATAATAATAGGTTTATGATCTGCTGTGATACATGTGAAGAATGGTATCACGGAAAGTGTGTAAATGTGACAAAAGCAATGGGCCAGATGATGGAACAGGAAGGAAAGGAATGGATCTGTGTTTATTGCAAAGTAAGTTTTTAATATTTATATTACAATCTGTCAATTACTATATATTATTTTTGTTTCAGGATACTGCTTTGAGTAGACCTAATGCTGCTGCTAGAAGAATACGTAAAGCTTCTAGAACTTCAACAGATAGTGGGGGTGGAGGAAATAGTTTAAGCACTCCAAAAAGAAGTCCTTTTCCAGTAACTCCATCTTCATCATCATCTTCTGAATTTTTTACAAATGCAGATGAAAAGAAAGCATCAGGTCCATCTCAACCAGGATGTGTTGTATGTGGAAAGCCTTGTAGAAATAGTTCTATATATTGCAGTGATACATGTATTTTGAAGCATGCTCAAGGGGTAGAAAAGGTAATTGTTTCATAATAGAATGATTTAACAATATCTAATATGATTTATTAAAGGTGGTTGTTTTTGATCGTAAAAGTGGAAAGCTATTATCTGGCACAAATGCCCCAAGTGCAGCAAATTTAGATAAATGGTTATCAGAAAATCCCAGTTATGAGGTAGTAAGATCAGCAGTGAAACAGGGGCCTCCAAAGGTATTTAATCTATTTCAATTTGTACAATGCATTTTACTAATATAATATTGCACCATTTCAGCCTGCAACATTCACTCAATCAAAATTACGACTGGTCAAAAACACGTCAAATGAAGGAGTTTCCTTAGCTATACATAAGAAGGGAGTAAATATAGGGGTGTTACAGCATTCACCAAAAGAGCCACAGGAAATTTTAAATTCAAAACAAACCCCAAAAAAGCCTGGATTAAATGTAAATTATAAATAGTATACATTTGATATAATGTTATAAGTTTTTGTTTTCGTTTTAGATTACTGGTTTAAAGATAATTAGCAAACAAGTTACAGTTGGTGCAATACAATCCAAAATAAAGGTAGTTCCAGCATCACCTATAACAACTAGACCAGCTTTGACATCAACGCCCGCCAAAATTAAAATGGTGCAAACTAAGTTGCCTATGACCCCACTGATTGTAAAATCGGACAAATTGCAACCAATGCCCCAGAAAACTCCAAAAGCACGTCAAGCAGAAGTTCCAACACCCCCGAAACAAGAAAATTTACGAGAAACCGTAAAGAAAACGTTTTTTGAACAATTGTCAAATCGATTAAAGAAGGTTGCTGACTTAAAACTTACTGATATAGAGGTACATAAAATTGTTATTATTTGTGTTTTAGTACTATAATATATATATTCTTTTAGCTGAAGGGAATTTCCAATGAAATTGAATCGCAATTGTACAAATGCTTTGGCGATACAGGTCAGAAATATAAAAACAAATATCGCAGTTTAATTTTTAATATAAAAGATCCAAAAAATCAAACATTGTGGAGAAGAATTTGTGAGAAATCTGTAAATCCTTACCAGTTAGTTCGCTTGTCTCCAGATGATTTGGCAAGCCAAGAACTGGCCCTATGGAGAGAAAGGGAAGCAAAACATCAACTAGATATGATAAAAAAATCCGAGATGGAACTGTTGAATTGTTCAAGGCAGTATGTTTTTAAAACTCACAAAGGAGAACAAGTATTTGAAGATGATAATAGGAACAAAGATCAAGTAACGGAAGTCATCTCCGGATTGGGTAACGAGAATTCGGAAAAGGAAGAAGCAGTAGGTGATAATGGAAAAGATAAAAAGAATGCACTATCAAAACATAATAAAAAAGATAAAGAGCGTGGAAGGTCTAGAGAACGGAGTAAAACTCGCAGAGATAGGTATTATTTAAAGTCAATGTTAAAGTGAAATATATAAATATATTTTTATTCTAGCAAAGAACGTCACAAGGATTCTAGATCGTCCAGTAAAAAACGTTCAAGAAGCAAGGATCGCAGTTCCACACGACATAGTGAAAGAAAAAGGTCTCGTAGCCGTGATCGTCATAGAAGATCATCGCACCGCAGTTCTCGTCATTCGAAAAAAGAAGAAAAATCTATAAACACTGAAAAGCTAGATAAGAAATCAAAGGAAATCTTAGAGCAACTTGTCGATAAAAATATAGTCCCTCCGTTAGAAGATCGCCTTTGGAAGCACGTTCCCCAAGAAGATATTGTTCCGACGCCGACTATAGAAAGTGATAGTGATCACGAACCTAGTTCAACTGTTACAATTCCTACGCCACCAAGAACTACGGAACAAGATGAAATCACTGAATCAAGTATATTTATTTATATCGCAACAATTAAGCAATTGTACTTATACTAGTATTTTTAGTTAAATCGACGGACGACGAAATTAAAATTGAAGAAAAACCTGAAGATGAGGGAGAACCGCAAACTGGAAAGTCGCCCGATGATAAGTTCACATCTTCTCCACTTTGGACTGGCACAATAAATATGATTGACGTCGCACAAATTTCTATAACTGCGCATGAAGTTTCGGGAGATTGTAATGGGTTGGGTGATGAATTACTACGATCCCTGGACATTGTTGGACGAATTTCACCCGAAACTGTATGGGATTATATAGGAAAAATGAAAAGTTCTAATAGTAAAACAATATCAGTAATTCGTTTGGTAGCAACAAATATGGAAGAACGTATGCCATATTTAGCATTGTACACTTATCTTTCTAGCAGAAATAGGCTTGGTGTTGTAAAAACAATTACTAAAGCAGTTAAAGATTTTTATATTCTGCCATTAGCAGGTAGCACCCCAATACCTGAACCTTTACTGCCTATAACAGGGCCAGGTTTCGAAGAATCTAGGCCAGCCCTATTATTGGGCATCCTAGTTAGGGACAAACGTAAACGAATGCACGATGGCAGTCATCACGGTCACTCGAAAAGGGTGCGTGTAGACATCGCATCGCATTCTCAGCAACCTTCGACACCTCCTTCCTCCTCTCGTTCATACACTCCTCCTCCGACAAGACAAGATCCAAGAGTAAAAATACCAGCAACTTCTTTGCCGGTTCCACCACCTTTGCCAATAGAAAGCCAAGATGACGATATGGGTAATGATGATTACACGTCGTATTTCTATTTGTACATTTCTAATGTTAATATTATTCCATAGATGAGCCTTATAGTCCGGAAGATTCTGATCCAGATACATTGCCAGAACAGCCACTAGCCAATTCGCGATTAAATACAAATGATATAACTAGTCTGCTGACTGGACCTGTAAAATCGAGTTCATTTCTGGAATCTGGATTAACCGCACAAACATTCGAACCGTTTAGCAATAAGTTCGATAGTATTCCAGGTATTCATAATTTGGAATTTTATTAATACTAAGTTATTTATAATAAATAATAAAATTTTCAGGATTAGATGATAGCCCATCACTGTCTACAAGCAGTGTAGAGCTTCAACGGAAAATGGCAGAATTGGATCAGAGAATCGCCGCTCAGAAAGCAGAAATCGATAAAGTGTCGCAAGATTTGGTATCGTCTGCTACATCGGCTGACATAGGCAGCTCCACATTAGCCAACATTGCCTTGCCAAGTAATTTGCAACAAATATTAGAAAGCATTAAAACCATCGGTTCAAAGACTGATGGAAATGAATCACAGGTAATTATTATTTTTACATAATATTCGAATATCAAAAATAATACAAAATATTTCGCGTTATTTTAGAGCGAAAATTCAAATTCGTCTACCGTTGGAGCATCTTCCGACTTGACAATTCCACTGCTATTACCGAAACTAAGTTCCAGACCATTAACCGGTTCGGCCAGTTCTAAATTAGATGCAACAATACCATTAAATTTACCGAAAACAAAGATTAAGGGTTCTGATTCCGAGAAGCCAAGCAGCGTTTTGAGCACCTTATCGGAAGAAGAATTGATTAAGAAAGCAGCAGAAATGTTAGGGGAAGATGCGGAAGTACCAACTAAGAAGTCTCGAATTGATTTAAGTCAACCCCCGATTCCAGGTCTGGACTAAACAAACTTCCATGTAGTGATAGAAAAACAATTCAGAGCAATGTGTAGTCTTCTTAGGGATATAATGTATATATGATGTTTATAAATGGTGTAAGAAGATATATATATTTTCCGAATTGGAACAGAGCAATGGTGCTAATAAAAAAAAATATGTATTTATCTACGCAACAAAAGTTGCTGACAATTTAAAAAAAAAATGAATTTTATTTTAAATTTCATTTGTTACATACTGCTTTTTGTTTATGTTTTTATTTAAGATACATCATTTTAGTACAAAATTGTATATTAAATTATTTTTTACATCTTATACTGTTTGTAAATGTTCATATCCATGTGAACCGAGAGAAATAGTTCTTTTTGTATATAAGAGATCCGCATACGTTAAGCGTACTTGTTTTATTATATTTTTTAATAAATCTTATATGATAGTCGCATCATAATTACATTAGGCTTTAATTTACATTTAATTTTGTACATTTTGCGTTAATCAATTGAGTTAATCAATATAAGAAATATTTAGAACATATAATTTTTATGATACACATTTTATTTGCTAATTATCTATATATACATCGTAATATTGATTTTACTGTTTGATTTAAACATTATTGTTTAGTTATTTTTACTGTATAATAAACATTTTCTAAATACACTTGTTGAAGAAAACTTAATTTATGTGTTTATTTCAATCATCAACCATAAAATGTACTGCTGCTAATTTATCTATGCCATCTATCAATGTAGATTAAAACTTAATTCATTTTTAAATGATAGTCATTTATATATACGCAAGTACAGAAAATTAATGGTTTTTAATATTAAAATAAATTATGATTATTAAAAAAATCATAAATTTTATGTTAGTAAATGGAATCATAGAATTTTTTTAATGAATAAAAAACGTTTTAGATTTTCTTACCGAATTTCTTGGGAAAGGTTTGAATAAATCTTTTGAATGAAAATAATAATTTATTTGACATGACGATTAATATAATTTTGAGCTATCAACTAAATATAACAATTAACCATAATAATAGTAAAATTGACAAAAAAAGTTACGTAATAAAATCATTTCGTTTTACGTGTAAAAATATAATATTTGTGTAATTCGGTTCATTTGAGTATTGCTATTGCATAAATAAATAAGAGTATCAACATATACTAACTAAATAACATTCGTTCAGTGTGCTTACAACGACTACGGCTGTGTATGTAACTTATTTAACAAGTGGGTCCAAATAACTTTGAACTTCAGCAAAGATATCGTCCGGATTCCTTTCGGCGTTAATCTGAAACAGACGTTTCTTATTAAGATACAAACATTGATTGGACGTGCGAATGCTTACTTTTTTCAGGACACTTGCGTAATGCTCTGTGATTTGGTCAGTGTAACGATGGAAAGTTTGCAATCTCAGTTTGATGGTCTCTTCGTTGTCGTCAGATCTGCCCGAAGTCTTTCCCTGTAGAGGATCCTATCGGTGAGCACCTTGTCGTCGGCTTCGAAGAACAAGATCACAGATACTTTAGCAACTTTTTCCTCGAACAAGATGCCTTGATCCTTCTCGCGCGGATAACCGTCGATCAAGAATCCCTTGGTGTCAACTACTTTGCTCATGGCCTCCCTCAGAAGAGTTAAGATGATATCCAAAGGAATTAATTCTCCGCGCTTCATGATTTCATTAATCTGTTGACTCCTTTCTGATCCAGTCGCAACCTAATTGATACAATATACAATTAATAACAAATACTATTGCTATTTTTAAAACGTTATCACAATGGAATTGTACACTCTACGATATTAAAAAGAAATGATTCATTCACTATTTCTTGAGACGATTAAAGATAAAATTTACCTCGGCCCTCAGAAGGTCACCAGACGATAAATGGGTAAACCCATATTTGGCAACGATTTTATCACATTGGGTTCCTTTGCCGCATCCTGGACCGCCCAAAACCCAAATTACGGGTCCGGTGATTTCCAATTGTTTCTAAAAATGCATTTAACATTGATAATTTAACCTTAACAAACAATAATTATACATCATACTCTTTTCTTTATTATTTACTAAAAGCAATGTACGAAACAGAAGCGAAAAATAACTAAATTCAAGTTGATTATATAATTTTGAAAAATTGCCAAAAAAAAACCGCTCAAATAATAATCAGTGCAATTTAATAAATAAAAACTAAGTACATTACCTCAGACATGATAACTAAACTTAAAAGAAATATACACAAAAATAAATGTAAAATGTTATTGTAACGATGCGCGTTATGTGTGTATCACCGTTGCAAGGCTACACCGAGACTAAAATCAACACAGATCATTGTGGATATAGTTTTGGACCTTGCCTCGACTTACTAAAAATACCTACATTTTTTTTTTGTAATCACATAATCTGAATACTGTTGTAATATTGATTGCTATATAAAAATTTAATAAAAATATTTTCTATTATCTGCTGTGATTAATTTCTAATGAATAGAAATTAAATTTCGTTTTTTTTTTCTATAATATAGTACAAATGATTTTTTTTTATAGTATTTCTCTGAGCACATTTATTAATTGAACAATTTATAAATGAAATTTATATGGAATATTTTTAAATTAGTATGTGTCATTCCAACTACGCAATTCTCAAGCGTTAATCATACATTAAATAATTTCCTACTTAAGCGTAAGATGCACGCAATGAATATTGCAATTATATTTTATGATCTAATTTTACCACAACGTTCGTTTTAAGTAGAAAATCTGTTTCCATTTTTGTTTAGGACGAAATATGATATTGCCATTATGTTTATATTATTTTTATAATAACATTATTAGAATACAACACAATTTAAAACATTTTATTATAAATTAATAAAATAAAATTTTGACCCAGCGAAATATCAGATTTATGGTTTATATGGTCTATAAATTTCTTAAAAAAAAATGATACAGTAAAGAACAGAACGAAAAGACTGCAGCCAATAGTCGTTTTACATATAAATAAAAAGAAAACAATATTTTATTGTCTGTTAATTGTAATTTCATAATTATGCAAAAAAAAACATAAATTGTTAATGACTGTCTCCATTGAACAATTACATTTTGAAATTATAAAAACCTATTCAATTATCCTATTGAAAAGTATCAGATAAACGAATTATCTAGAAATGAAAACATTAGATTTGAATGCCACTCGAACGTATTAATCTATAAATAACCGCATTTCATTAACACTACCTGAATTTTACGTTGCTATTGCGTAATTTGGGAAATTGCCATACGGCAATGCTACAACTATTAACCGTGAAATAATTGAATAAATGTTCTCTAAAATTATTTTTTACCTACACTAATGTAAAAAACAAGAAAATGTACAGGTAATGCAAGCTAATTATAGGTGCGACATTGAAGAAGATGGTATAAAATTTGGCTGAATGCCAAAGTGAAATGTGTTTAATTTTTGAAATAAAAGATCAAATATTTTTTTTAGGATTTTTGTATGCGTTTTTAATTAAATATACGAAACATATTTTAATTTTACTATTCTTGTTATAAATGTTATAAACGGAAATATATATTTATTGCAATGTTTTCCATTATAATTATCAATTATGAAATAATGAATATAAAGGTGCACCATTCTTGAAACATATTGTTTTTCATCATTACACGTTCTTCTATAGTTGTCACGTGTAAGTTAATCAGACCGTCTGCATAAGTTCATCCATATGCTGCACAACTTCAGCGAAAATATCGTCAGGTGATTGCTCTGCGCTCACCTGGAATTAGTATTACGGTTTAGCTATAACCAGATATTTTCGATTATATAATAACAATTTACTCTTTTAATCCGATCCGCGTAATTGTCCGTAATCGCCTGCTCGTATTCATGAAACAGTTGCAATCGAACCTTTATGGCATCTATATTATCGTCAGCTCTACCAGTCAGCTGACCTCTTGTCAACATCCGGTCTGTAAGAACTTCATCCGAGGCTTCGAAATACAGAACCATGTTCACTTTATGGACGTCTCTCTCAAAGAGCACACCTTGCTCATACTGACGAGGATATCCGTCAATTAAGAAACCCTTAGGATCGTCGAACTGGTCTATCGCTTCCCTTAGCAACTTCAGCACGATCGGAGTCGGCACCAGTTCACCTTTCAGTACGAATACCTCTATGTATTTACCACGTTCTGATCCAGTCGCTGCCTAATATCCAATTGTTATTTATTTTTTTTAAATTAATTGTTCAATTGTTTTTAATGGTTACCTCCGCTCTCAAAAGATCTCCCGAAGACATGTGAACAAATCCGTACTTCTTTTTGATCATATTGCATTGCGTACCTTTTCCGCAGCCAGGTCCACCCAATACCCATACAACAGGTACAGTTATTATCTTATGATGCTAAAATATCATTCGGCATGTAATTAAATATTTATTCAATTATTTATTTACCAACAGATTCGACTTTGGCGCAGTTGCACATTGTTATTGCAAACTTGTGTATCTGGAAAATGACACCTGTACACAAGACACTGTCAAATGGTAGTCATTTGTTTGTTTAATTCATGGCTATACCTATCTCATTTTTTTTAATTACCACCAATATGTCTGTCAGCATTCAAATGTTTATCGACTCCCATTGCATTGATTCTCTTTAATTTGGTCTCAGTTTCCTAATTAACCACTTTCCTATAAGATTTTGTGATCTAATAACATTGATGAATAAAATTTAGTACTTAATACCAGTAATTTAATTTTTAGACTACCTTCGTAACTAGTATTAATATATTAACAATTTCTGTAGTTAGTCCTATTTCCTCGTCTTTGTCTTTGGTTTGGTAAACCATATCACCAATTAATTAATTAATTAATAAAAAAAAACTGAATGTGTTGTATTATGAAAAATTTAAGAGTTGTTTCATATTTAAGCATTTCAACAGTATGTATATAGTAAATATACATGTAGAGAGCATGGACTACTTTAGAAGACAATACGTCAATTGATAAAATAGCCCTCATCCATTTTGAATTCAAAAAGTAACGCAACACTAAAACAAATACTGTAAGAATATCGTTGTTTGCTGTTACATTATCTATGTTTTTGTTGAGGAGCTTGGGAACACTAAATAAAGTATAAGGTGATTGATACGTCATAATTATACTCGATTCGTCCTTGTAATACGTTTGAAGGTAAACGAACCTCGTGTGTACATACTTTATCAAAAATTCACGCGCATCGAGAATCTAAGAATATTTTCCAATAATTATAGAGAAATTACACAGATTGCAAAATGTCTTTATCGTCACTCAATAAACTATACATTGAAGTGGGACATTAAAATAATTGCAGTCTATCGTATTATGATTAATTTATTTGCAGGGAAGACAATTTTTAACATGAAGTTTCAAGAATGCGAAGTAATTGCAAAGTATTATAACAGTTTGGCATGGGAATGTTTCAATTGCAACACAGCCAGCTTTCAGTGCAATTATTACTAATATAAAGTAAATAACGTTTGAATATTCATTACAATTGGCGTAAGAGTATTAATCATTATTTCATAGATTTAAAAATGAAAAAAAAAATACCTTCAATAAATACAACCAAGTTGCTAATGTAAATATTCAATTGCAGCTACTTGCATCGAAACTTCGCTTTCTAAAGACTTTGTTCTTCTTAAGTTGAATAACAGTTTTTTTTTTGGGCTCCGCATTTTTGGTTATTTTTATGTATAGTTTATAAATAAATAAAATCTTGTTCGATGGGATAAAACTGAAGCTTCATATAAATAAACAAGTAACCTAATAAAATTCGTCCGTCCTACATTTCGAGTAACGTTATTGCATGGCAGCAGTCACCAGTGAAACCGTTCCTGCTCTAATGCCAATATCCGTAAATAGATTTCAGTTGGTTTCAGTGGCATCGAAAAACGGAAAAGCTTGAAGCGAGCAAAACATTAAGCAAACTAAACGTTGCGAAGCGTAAACATTTTTTTTTCCTCTACTTACATCACCTGATTCCATTTTCACTTTCGCCTGGACGACAACCAAACCCTTCGACCACGCAAACTCGACACGACTATTTCCAAACTGGAAATGAAATCGATAACGTTCTGCATCCCTTATATAGAGAGTTTTATCACAATTATATAGGAAAGTTCTTATCCAAAACGTTTAACTTTTTGATTATAGAGTCGATGCATGCAACTCATTCACATTTAATTGAACAAATAAACTATTATCAAATATCAATCGAGTATAGACCAGTCAAATGTAGACCGTAGTCACAACAGTGGCGCAAAAAGAAACGTTATGATTTTCTTAGAAGGACCAATGTGGGGCCTCTAAACTAGGTTGCGCTTGGGGCCTCACAAAGTCGTGATGTTTTCAGTATTTTGTCTCGACAACTCCTTAACATAATTACATGAAAGCTGAATACTTCACCTTTCCAACGAGCCTTTTGGCATCTTCGTGCTGTTGCCAAGTCCCCTGCTAAGAGCTGCAGAAATTAGAAAAAAGTGATTTTCTTGATAATCGCTGTTTAGTTGAGCTGACGAGTTTTAACGTTTTTTCTTAATTACATGAAAATTACATAACTTTTGTTGCATTTCATGATTGCGTAAGATTTACGCAGCTTTTTATGAAACAAAATTTACGTAATGTTGGTTAATCGTTTCCTTGCAGCTCCGTTCGTTCTTCGTCTTTGCCTCTGGTACTGCCTTCTAGCAGAGTGGCAGTGTTTCCTCAATTCGGCTATCTCCTCTGATAGGCTTGCTTCCGGCTGTGATTGGTTTGCTTTTACCGTGGCATTGCTGCGTTGCACGCTCCTTCTATGAATTCCATAAGCTTTTCTGCTCTTGAGATTTCTCCAAGTCTGTGAGCAATGGAATTTAAGAGGTTTGTTTTGTTGAGCTTTCATGTTGACCATCCCGGTGTGACTGCATGGTGCTGGATTGTTCTGTCTCTGATGCTATACATTATATATCTGTGGTCACTCAGCGTTTCCTTGTCCAGGACCCTCCAGTCATTTATTTTTGTAGATATAGGATGGATGAGTAGTTTCCACGCTCGAAAGTAGGCTCAGTGCCTCTGGGATTTTTAGGCTAGCAACCCACTCTTTCCGTTTAGGTCTCCCGTGATTATTGTCTGCCCTTCTTGCGTCACTTGCAATGTTTGCAAGAATGGCAGTGCTTTCGGCTGATTTTTGCTGATGTTTGGGGATATTTAACAGGAGTAGAGAGTGTAGTTTGTTGTCTTTATATCCAGTCACCCGTTCAGGACGTTGATTTTTTTTTGAACGACTGATGCAATAAACATTAATATTACAATATCATAAAATTGATTTAGAATAATTTGAAACATGTTGAGAATATTGCTTTTTATTAAACTAATATAACACCAAAAATACATAAATCAAAATATAGAAATTGAAACGTATAAATATATCTAACATTCATAATAAAATAAACGTAATAGGAAACGAAATAACATGAGTCTAACCATTTGCATTCTACTCTATTGTTATGTGTAAATATAATATATTTAGATCTCTGGTTCTCGGTTGTTGTGAAAAAACTTCTAATTACATAACTATAAATATATGTTTCTTTATAAAAATATTACTCCTACAATGTCATATTCGAATATGGTCCATGTTACAAAAAATTACAGGTACGTATCTTAAGAATATTTTTAAGAGAAGATGAAAATAAAAAAAAATAACTAAATGGAAATGATTGTCGGGAGCATAAGACTTATGCATCCAACAAACTGTTTTTTGGCTATTCGAAATAAGAAATGTGTAATTACGTGCAAGTGTTGTTGTTATTACTTCTTTTGTTTTATTCGTTTTTATTTTGTGGGTGCATTTAGTAAATGTCGAAATAAAATAATATCCTTTTGAAGGTTCATTAAAATTATTTTGCCACGTTTTACTTATCATATGCGTATAATTATTTTGTTAATTATAAATATACGAATGTATCTTTATAGAACTATAATAATTAATCGATGATCCGCCCGCGGATGTGTATCACTACATACTATATAGTATACTAAAATACTGCTTTGTTCCATTTCTTCTTTTTTTTATATATATAAATATTAACTATATAAAAGTTGCTTTTTTATGATTTTTCTAATACTTGAGCACACCGTATTCGTTTAATTTTAAAGTTTTTGTAATATTTGTTGTATAATTTCGTTGGTTTCGTTTTTTCTTTTTGTATCACAATTTCGATCACTTCAAATATGTCCGTCCATGTAATTTACTTCTCCGTACATTTGCCTAATGTTCTCCTGTCGTTCGGCGTTCAAATCGGTGTACTTGTTCCTGCCGAAGCCGTTTTGCATGTACTCGACGTGTCCATTTGCAAAACCATTAGTAACTCTTGCAACTCCATTTCGGACGATCCCGTTTTCCTGAGCCACATGCCTGCTGATGGTCTGGATGGGGTCCGACTCCAAATCATGGATTGTTACGGAATTCTTTCGTGGCCCAACGCCGTTTTGGTTTGGCATGGGAATGCCGTTTGGGAGTGGTCTACTGTTTGCAACGCCGTTTCCATTCGAAGTGATCGAGTTTTCCTTGATGTACCGGATGTGCTCCTTGACGACGTTTTTGAAGTCTTCCTGGACTGGTTGGGTGTCAGTATCACCATCAACCTGAAATACAAACGCCAATTAATCATTTCAAACTATAAAATTACCAAGTATCGTACTATTGTTAGCCTTCCAATGTTGTCCATGGCTTTCAACATTGGCAATGATGACTGCCGGAAAATCTCCAGGCGTCTTCGAAAGGCCGTTACACTGTCATCCAATCTCCCTCTTCCCAGTTGCAATTTAGAGCAGTCCAGAAGAATGATCGTGGGTTTCTGTTTATACTGTAAATAATAGATATATTTCATGAAATGCTAGTCATGGTAATTGAAAAATGGCCGGGAATCGATACGATTGGAATAATAATGAAGGTAATGAAGTTGTCAAACACATTTAATATAAGTTGGACAAAAAGTAATATCGTCAATCGATAATAATTACCAATCATTAGAATCGTCTCGAAAGAGTCCAGTAATAATACAGTTGCACATTCAGCAACCTATAATTTTCAAGCAATGCTCATCTAATATTTAAGCTGTATTGCACTAAAGTGATTGGTGTATAATTTTACTTACATCAATTTTCTGCTATGTGATATTAAAGAAAGAACTCACTTTTGCTTCAAATTCCGTGGCTTGAGCCATATCTCTGGGGAATCCATCCAGGATAATTCCCTGCGCATCCATGTTAGAAGCCATATGGGATTCGACGACCTTCATGATAATGTCGAGAGGTACCATCTCTCCTCCTGCTATGCAATCTCTTATCTTGGCAGGATCGCTTCCTGGTTTCGGATCGGGTGGTTCAGCAGCGGCACGAAGAAGTCTGCCCAAGCTTATGTGTGTCCATCCGGTATCTTTGGCAGCGTGTATACACAACGCCGCTTTGTTGCTTCCCGGTCCACCGATAACCCAAAGCACTGGTGGCCATCCGGGTTTGATGGGGGATTGGTAAGTGGGTGGCATCTCCTTCGAAGACACCGATATAACCTGGGTCTGAGGTCTGGGAGTATCGACATTCATCTGCTTTGGTGGTGCACCGTTTAATTGCCTTGGCGGACCACCGTTCGCTTGCTTTGGTGGTCCACCATTTGTCTGCTTCGGTGCTTCTTGTATTGGCATCGAAGGCTGCGGTAGCGTCTGAACAGGCTAACAGATAAAAACGTATTTATGAATGANNNTGGGTTATCTTGCATTCCCAGTATCCGGAATACCGAAGCCCTGAAGTCCTTATACACATCACCCGGATGCCTTTCTCCATTCACCTGCATACATTTAAATGAATTACACCGAATCGATAAAACTTGATTCCATTCATCCAACATGTTACTTGTTGAACGTTATTTGGAAATGAAAGTGATAGAAACAGACGTTCCAACCAATTGAAATATTGCGCAACTTACACGATTTAATCGTCAGTTTTTTTTTTTATTATAATTAATGTAAAGCATGTTCAATTTCAATATCGATTTTCCATATGCCACACTGTTATTACATATTTTTTTTTATATTTTCTAAACCGCAGAGCGTTTATCAACATGCAATCGCGAGAGGGGAAGGAAAATGGTTTGCTGGTAACATGTAATTCAAATGCTCGAACAAGAATAATTTTCTCAAGTAAGAAACCCAAGCAACATGTGCTTCTTCTCACAAAGCATTACAGAATGAATAACTTGTCAACATTTCTTCATTGAAATTTTAAGTGGTATTGGCAGAATTACAGTACAATTCCGAGTATATATAAATGTATGAATATTTTGTTTTGTCCAATTATATATAAACTGTCTAAATTTAGAGATATATATATAAAGAAAAACAAGGTATGTATGCATCACGAATTTTGGACACGTTTCGGTGGTCATATTTAAATCCAAACAAGAAAGTATAATAATGTTGTTGCGTGATCTTGTAGCGTGCGGTCAAATTGGTGTTTAGAAAGAAAGAAAAGCTCTATTGTACATATATATATATTTGAAAATCACACGAAACGGCTCGTTTTGTGGTACAAGTGAAATACATTAATTTTCCATCAATTACTTAAAAGAAATTAGGCGCGCTTGATTTTATAAATCGCAATTTGTGCAAATTACTTTTGAAAATGTCCCTAAAAATGAACTTATCTTGATTTACTTTAATATATTCATTGAATCTACATTCTAAATTGAATAATCTATAATTTCATAGAACATGCATTGTATATACCATATATTTAATATTAATAACTAAAAATTACAATAAAGTTTCACATAAAAAAAAACTAATAAAATTATAATTTTAATCTACAGTTTTCAATTTATTGATGCATTAATCTACATATTAATTTAAAATAGCACTTTTCTATTTTTATTGTTACAATAAAGATTATTATTATTTGTTGTTTTCTTTCCACGTGACAGAAATATCATTTGACTTTCAATTCCAGATATTTTGTATTATTTTTTAGTCACTCCTATTAAGTGTACATTTGATAACTGAATAGTTTTACTTTTTTTTTTTCAATTATTTGATTTCTACTCGACAGAAATGTCATTTGCATAGCAATTGCAATATTCTATTAACTTTCCTATTAAATGTGCATTTTACAGCTGAATAATTTGACTTATATTTTCACTTGTCTCTTGTCATTATTTGATTCCCACTTCACATAAATGTCAATTTGCATTGAATTTTCTGATATTTGCTATTTATTATAACCGCTTCTATTAAGTGTATATTTTATAATATAACTTAGTCTGTTTTTAATTATTTAATTGTATAAACAGAAGAATGAGAGAATTGAGGTCAGAACAGAAATATTACAATCAATAAACAATATACTAATGTTATTACATTGAGCTTTCCATACTTTACGGAATAAAACTGTAGTATATTGTGACACAATTACAGCAATAATAATCGTTTTCGCCAATAGAATAAACTGCACAAAAAGAAACAAGTTTAAAGAAATAAAATTAAAAAATATTGTTTGTTTTGAAATTTTCAAATCGGTTTTAGTAATTTCCGAATGAGCGAAGCCGCACTATGCGAGGTAAACGAATTTTGACATTATACTATTATTTTAAATAAACTTTCATAAATATTATAAACATATTTCTTAATTAGTTACTTGTGAATTGAAGATGCTTGCAAGTATCATACTATTCTGATAACTGTAATACATCTCGAAATAAGCATGCTTTTTCGTATTGGGTTCGAAGTTAATTGCTTTGTTTGTTTGAACATATAAATACATCATTTGTGTCCGTAGCTGTATCGATCAGATTTGACTTTGTAAATAGTTAAATCATCCCCCGCCGAAAATCGAATATCTTCCGAATATAATTACAAGGCAATACGAAAACGACGAAAGAAGAAGGAAAAAAAAAGAACATAAATTACACACGACGGCAATAACAAAATCAAATATTGAAGAAACGGTCGCGAGAAAATTGGACATCCCAAGGGGAAATTGAATTTTCTATATTTCAGTTTGTATTTGCACGAGAGAAAAAAAAAAGTAATAATAATAGTAAGTAAATGTAAAGCTACTTACCGATATTAACATGTTGCTCTGGTCAAAATAATCGGCGACTGGCATCACATTCTTATAAAAATTTGACAATTCCATTCGAGCTAAGGATAGGACGACCTGTCCTAATTTGGCACCGTAATCAATCTGTCTTTCTAACACCTTCTGTCTCCATGAAATCAAGATCGCCCCATTCACCACTTGGATCTATAGAAATCAATAATACATAGTGAAAAATCATGTTCGAACGGGTGTTGGAAAACAAAAAGAAGATAAATGTATGTGTTTAGAGGATATAATACATCGTACAGTCATACAATTCATAGAAATGATATTATATGGGGGACAATTTTAACATCGACCTGTTGTTTACCGGTTCACTTGGTTACGCTATTCTACTTTGTTGTTAATCCATACACACATACGGGTTTTCCCAGTAGTTACAGATACATTTGCAAATAACAACAATAACAGCATAAATATTGATTATTTACAAAATGTATTGGTATATTTAGACCTAAAGACTAACAATCAAAATCTTTCTGCCTATTTATTATATTGTTGTATAATCACAATAATAATTTAAAGAAATATATATATTAATACTTGACAGTGAGAAATCGTAAATATTTAAAGTCATGAAACTAATATATTCAATCAATAACCGTATCGAATCGTAATAACACGTACTCTATAGGCGGAGGTATTTCTATGTGAAATTCATATAGATTTTATAACGATATTTTATGAAAAAAAATCTATTTCTGAATAAAATTTTCTTCAATAAATATTAATATTACGACTTGTTTACGTATACAATATAACATGTCGTAATAATCAATATTAATATTTACATTTATTTTTCATTATCTAATTGCTTCAAGTTAATATGTAATAAGTTTCTATCTCAAATTCGTTACATTTTGTTATGTCAAAAAATGACAATTATCTAATATTTAAAGCATACTTAAGAAAATCTCTAAAACAAATATTTTTGTAATAAGTTGTCTTTTTAAACTCATTATGTGCTAACCGCAGCATTTTATGGAAATCAAACATCTACACAAAAATAAGATACTCATTAGATACAAGTCTAAATATTAATATAAAATTGAGCTTGAGCATGACTTAATACGTTCTTCATCGATAACAAAATTTCTTTTTAAAAGGAATAAATTCGAATCCTTGAAATTGATATAACACAATGGAAGATAACATCTGATTGATGAATAATTTGGGACCAGAATATCCTTACGAGTACATTAAAGATTACTTAACAACGACTCTACTATTCCAAGTCCTAGCACGCAAATAAGACTGTTTACCTATAAAACTGTAAGTGGAATTCTATTAGTTTGATTTACAAACAAACTCCTTCCAATAATGCAAAAAAAAACATACACTTAATGATTTTGTTATTACCTTTTCTGAATATTCGACGACATCCCTCATGTTCCTAGGATACCCAGAAACGAGGTAAGTTTTCGCCATCGGAGCCATCTTCATTTCAAGCATCAGCACTTCCGTGACCGTTTTGCTGGACAGCATACCGAAATCTTGCATGTCTGAAAGCAAAATTATTAAAATATACAGTCAGGAAGAAAGCGGAGGGAAAATGTTGGTGTTGGGAACACGCCATTAGCTCAGTGGTTTTTGTTAAGAATAAAATTAATAGCTCGTGCCTCGTTACCACCCGAAAACTAGACGAATAAATGATGTTATATGAAAGAAAAAGAAATAAATATAAAAAAAAAACTAAAATTAGTCTCAATCAAATCCAAACATATTCACGTACAAATTCTTTTCTCCGCATAATTGTATACACTTAGCGTTTTACCTATGTCGGAAATTTATTACTGTTTTCAACAAAAATACATGCGAGAAAGTTTGCATTACATTTTTTATCTACATGCAACGTAGGCGTAGTCGCGTACTTAACTGTACGTGCATGCAATTTACTCTTTTGCTGCGCTATTTTAAAGTGCATTGTAAACCTGAATAGCGATGTTGATAATGTGAAAAATTAATCGACTTATTGATTATTAGTAAATGATAGTCTTCTCTTAGTTGATAGATCTTTTACTTGAGTTTTATTATAATATGCTTCAGTTTCTGTCCACTATATAAACCCTAAACATCTAAATAATAGTGAAACCCGTTTGAAAAACAGTTTATGAAACTAATTATTACATGCAAAGTATTCAAAGAAATAAACTACAAAAATACCAACTAATTCTTAAACTTATTTAGATAAATGGCTTACAACTATGAGGAACAATCAATAAATCGAAGATATAAATAATCCAAAGGTTCGATACAAAAAGTATAAATTATAATAAAAGGATACATTTTTCAAATGGAAATAGTAAATGTAGATATAGAGAAACTTTACTAAATACAAATATAGACATATATTGATGATGCAGATTTAAAAACCCATTGATTCAAACGTATCGAAACACGTTAATAATTCACACATGTTATAAATTTAAAAAAAAATCAATAAATTAATGCTTTTCTTTAATATTAATAAATAAATAATTTCATGAAATGTGCTACAATAAATACATAAGTATGCTCATTTTGGTCCTCTTCTGAAGAGCATCTGGATTGCAAATGTAAAATTAGAAAAAAATGTGCGCGATTCAAATATTTTCCTTTGATATTTAAATCAGAAACCAACTAAAAACAAGTATTGGGAATAATAATTCAAATCAGTTTTTAGTACATTACATTTATACCAGTTTAAATATAAATATAAGACTTACTACTCCTATTTTTTAAAATTTCAAACGTGATTTCGGCAATATACGTTAACGTATACATTCGTTGCCTACACACAAATTGATTTTGTTTTAGGCTTAATTTATTATACTCGGTATTATGAGTATTACAATCGATCGAACTTTACAACTTGAATCTTCATTTTGTTAGTAATTGTTTTTTGTCAAGTAACTTATATAAATACTTGGGAAGTACAAATTAAAACGCATATATATTAAGTTTAATATATAGACAAGCGTTTCTCAAACCATCTTATCCAAATGTTTATAATATAAAATTTAAAAAGAAACGAGCTTTGACACAAGATGACAGCTGTCATTTTATGACCCATTAAAAATTTAACGCAACTATTAGATTGAGAAACGCTGCTATAGACTAGCACTAAAATACTATTGCTATCGAGTATTGGCAAAATATATCGAGCATGTCTATACTTGTCGGCGTGGTCGTATTGATTGTAATACTCATATTACATATGAGAAAGTAAAAATAAATAATTATAGCTAAAACCGCAAACACACAATTTACATCATTCTTTTTTTTGCTTTCAGTTACCTTCAGAATTTATGTTACCGATATTGATTAAGCTGGTTTGACCATCTATATTAAAAAAAAATCAATCTTTGAAATAACTCCAACCAGAATGTTTATGTTTGTCTATTGAAAGTTGCACATTCACGTATATAAGTAAAAACATATAAATATTGATATATAAAATCAATGACACTCACCATTACCAATTGCGTACTGCTGCAGCAGATCCGTCATGTTGATGTGTATAATGCCTTTCTTCTCTTGCATCAAATTATCACAATGTGTCACCTTCCCGCTTCCAGGGCCGCCTAAAAAAAACAAAACGAAAACTAAGTATAGAAAATAACGTTTCTTTTTGTTTTGCTGCTGATTACATTGTTAAGATCATGAAAATCGATAATTATTTCCATTTAAATTCTCAGTAAATATTGCCCAACGTAATTTTATAAGTAAACACAGTTTTTTTTATTGCTTTTTTTTATTTCTTTCGTTCGACGCTAAAATTAACCATCGAAGGTACGTCATATAATAATTTCAATGTTATGAGAATAATATAAGAATCAATAAGTTTTAAATCGGTTTCATATGAAACTATTCAAGTTTGATCATATAAATATCTTATATATTCGATGATTAATAAATGTAAGTTAAAATTCTAAAATAAATATTTTGTCCAATTTTATAAATATTTACAATAATAGTATTATGCGAATTGAAAAGTATTTGTTGTTATAGTAACTATATTCGTTTGGAGGTGATTGTTTATCGTGTTAAAATTTCATAATTTTTTTCAGCTCATTTTTACTATAATTCATGCATCCAAGTATCGTCTTTCATAATTTAATAACTTATAAGTGTGCTCATGGAATATAAGGTAAACTATGCGAAATTGTGCTATTTTTCATATCGAATATGTAAATACCAAATAACAAAATATTTGAAATCTTTGCATTATTTAACAACAGACTATGTTCAAATTTCATATAAACTGAAAATGATTGTAATAGTTTTTAAATGTAAATACATACCAAGAACAAATATAACTGGCACTTTAGGTGATTCAAAATTAACGGGACTTCTATTAAGCATCGGAAATCGTCCGTCTGGTGGTGTAGCAACGGAACGAGGATCTTCATGAGCGCTGTTCCTCACCCAAGTGTCTCTACCTTCTTCGAATGCTTGTGCACCATCACTTTGTTCTGTAATGAAATAATAAATGAGAAGCAATTAATAAATGAAATGTTATTGAAAAAATGGAAATGTATAAAGTTTCCATACCTGGCAACGAAAGTAATTAGTTATTACAGCAGAAACTTCAAATGTATTGTTTTCAACTTCTTTTTCCATTTCTTTAATAGATTACTTCAACTAAATAGATTATTTTTATTGGAAACTGCACAATAAAAATTTGAGTTTAGAACGCGGATTTGTTTAATTGCCATTTTTTTGTAATAAGCCGAATGATTTGTTTCAAATTAGTTCGAAAGTCCTAGGCGATAAGTATTTCTTAACAATTAAATATGTATCCGCTACAATATCTAAATTATTTTATATTTAATGCGCGTTACAATAGGAAAGTGGAACTTTATTATTTATATTAACGAAAGTTAGTGAAATAGGATTATGTGGACAGGAGGCCTCAAAATATAATGTCGATAATAGAAGGGTCCAACCTTGCACCTCTAATTTCGCCGGTCAAGGGAAGGCAATGTAATGTCGTCCACCCTTACCCTCCTAAACCCCTCCACGCACCATCCCACCAGCCGTCTCGCGTACACGCGACAAACGCACATTTTTTTTTGATACGTAAAAGCTCTAACAATTATGAACAAGGTAACAACAATAGAATTTACCGTTTTCGCTCTAATTTTTATATCACTTAGCATTGCATGCGATTTTATATAATAATATAATAAACTACAGTGTTATCCTATTTACTACTAATTGATTTCGATAATAAAAAAAAAGTTCTGTTTGTATGATAACTATCGTTTTGTTTTGGCATTATGTTGCTTCAACAGATATTTGCAGATGTTTCTAAGCTTGTTTAACAACTCACGTTTATATTATATAAATATGACTAAAATTGACAATTTCGAATTGATTACGATTATATTCCTTCAATTACAATACAGTTGCATAAGATGTTAAATTTATTTCACAACTAGGGATTATGTAACAAATATGTAATGTTGACTACTTACAAGCAATATAAGCATTTTTTTAGCTTTGTACGCAACATAATTCCTTCAATAAATTTTAAGTACTGCATTTTAAAAGCAATTATAACTGCAAAAATAAAAGTTCTTGAATTATCAGATTGTATTAAGCTATTCAATTCTAATGTATTTCTTGATAATTCTTTGGTGTTTACAATTAACACTTGTACCCTTACATTTGCATAACTTATATAATTTGCATAGTTTATCTCATCCGCACGCTATTTAAAAATATAAAAAACAAATAAAGTTTTTTTAATCCTTTTTCATAACAACTATAGTAAATTAATATGAAATGCAAAACTAATAAATAAACTTTAATAATACTTATATGGACTTTTGAAAGAAATTTATTTTATACATGTTAGAACAATATTATTAAACATATTCTTGTCCAAATAATTGAGTAAGATAATAAACTTAAGAAGTTGTCGAAAAAAACATAATGTTAGGAACAGTGCAAAAGTCTAATTGAATAAACTTTCTTAAAAAACAAATACCAATAATATATTCTAATTTTATAAATTTCATAAACTATTTTGTTTAGTTTATTGGAATTATTTAACTTTTATTATTATATAATATTTTAATAATAATAATCGGAATGTTATTAATAAAGTCCTTTTCGTTTATTATAACACCTTCTGAAATTATAATCCAGCCCGCAGCTATGCAGCTCTATTATACCCTTAAATAGTAGTATTGCGTGATAACTTTGTGAATACTGTTTAAAGACAAAGCAAAATCGTGTAACATAATACCTCGATTTGATTGCTTGTAAAGCACTGAATTTACCATTCTCAGCAAATCTGATCACGAACTATGCAATTATATGCCTATTTATATAAATGTACTTGTAGCTTTGCGAAAATAGAATTTGCAATGCGTGTGCATTCCAATAGTGTGCATAAATGAAAGTAGAAATCTCAATTTAGCAACAATAACAAAAAAAATCAATTGCGATAAAAATTGATTGTTATGTTATGAGCTTATTGAAGTTACGGTGGATACGCCGGTGACATGCGTCTTTCATTTGTTGATATTGATGGTTTATATGAAAAGAAAATTATGTTACCAGTATCCAAACAGATGCCCATATTCCAAAATCCCTCTTTTTATCTAAGTATAATTAAGTAGGGTCCTTAAGTCCCAGGGATGCAAGCAGAACCGCGGATGACGCGACGTTAAAGACGTTTCGCGCATCTGAAAAACTGGAAACTTCACCGACCTATCACTTGTTACTGTTAGACTTGTACAGTAGACGTAGTTAGCTACATAGACACTACATCGTCATCACACTGGCCGGACCATATAAACCGATCGAGAAAAGATCTCGTCAACCTATAACAGTGAAAAGTTCTTCGGATCGTGCGTATCGAACGAACGACGCTCTACTAAACGGTTTTCCGTTGGGAAAGCCGTGAAAATGCTTGGGAATTTGAATAATTAATGTAATGTTGCCTTGCTTACTGTGACCGCCGCGAGCGGGGTGGCGACGAGGGGTGTAGTTGTCATGGAAATGAGTCGCCGCTATGGACAGCACTTGACCAAACACATATACCAGCTAAAACTACGTCTGCGGATTAAATTCCGACCAATCATACTTCAAAATAAACTTCCCTTGTCCTCCTTTCTTCTCTCACGATCTACTCATATTAATTTCGTAAATCATTCATTTGATGACTAATACAGTCATTTCAATTAGTCCAATCCAATAATTCTCAATAACATATTAATTCTTGAATCCTTACATTCTAAGTACGCATCATCTCATATTATTAGTTCAATTTAAAGTTTAAAATTACATAATTCATTGTTTAATTATATGTTGGATAACAAATTTACTATATTACCTTAAAAAGAGCTGATATATCCACAGAAAACTAAATTAATTCACTTAAATTCTTAATTCAGTAAGATACATAATTTCAGATAACAATCAAGATATGTTGTAAATTAACTAAGTGCAGGTGGTGTGAATAGCATACAATTCTTATATAATACAAAGTTCCTAATAAAATAATATAAAAAAGACGTAATTTAGTTGCTAACTCCATTCGTATAGTAGGAATATATTATCAACTAGTGGATCTCTTTTATTTTCTGTTAAAATATTCTAATTCCATGTCGAACACTGTATAACCGTAAATTATGATGTTCGATTGTAATTAAAATAAAGTTCAACAACGTGGCAAGTCTATCATTTTCATTAAAATTTAACCAGATTTTATCGAACAATTATTTCATCCAGCATGAATACATTAGGGCGCGACACGTACATTTACAAAGTGTGTCATATAGCTGTGAATATTTAAAAATGGGATAAAGTATATATCCTAACAGCTTATTATTACAGAACGTTCAATATTATAGGAATAGTTCCCATGCGAGGCGATATTTAAATTTTTTATAAGACTTATTATATTGATACCTTCTGGAAAGTTTCGTAGCTTTTTCTTAGACTCAATTATGCATCAACGGGCTCGTTTTTCTTGCTTGCTCGTTCGTTCGCTTCACATTCCCTGTACCCCCATTTAAATATTACCGCCGTCAGCTAATTGACGCAACAATTTTCCACTCAACGCACCTTCCGTAGAACCAACTTCATTTATATTCATTTTGACATGTCGAGAACGCGTGTAATTAATTACCCCGCGACTCCACCAAATACTAAAATTGATACGTATTATTACGTAAAACCATACTTATTTAGTAAATTGATGCGTTCCATTCTAAATACGCCGTCTTAAAAAGATATTCTTGTACCAAATAGATGTAAATAATTTCACGTCATTCAATTGAGCACAAATCAATTAATATCATGGATTGAGAAAATAGGAAACAGTTTCAAACATCATTTTTGTCTAATTGTCTAAACAAACTATTTCGCATTAAACTAAATATGTATATCCTACATTTAGGCTATAAAACAAAAAGTAAACAAATTGCCAACAATCCAATAAAAATAGTATGCATTTATTAATTGCATTTTTACAAAATTAAAATTGTTCTTGAACTCGTGTAATAGATGTATGGTTTTTGTTTTTGATATTTAATAAATTAAAAGAAAAGTATTATTGCATATATATTTAATATAAAAATAATTATAAGTATTATGATACATATATAAAAGAGTGGAAAATAAAATTTCATAAGATATAATTAAATAAAACAGTTAATAATTTATTATAAATCGAAATACATGGCAGCTTTACTTAGGTCTCACTTTCTCGTACATAAATCTCTGCATTTTGTCTGCGTGCTTCTTGACGAAGTGAAATTGTTCCAACGTAAATTGGTACAAATCATTTTCCATCTTCCAAACTTCGTGATTTTGAATCTTCTTGACGGTCTCCTCCGAAGGATTCAACTTTTGAACGGTACGACGCAGATGCGAATTGTTACTGTTCAGAAAGTAATCTTTAGCACCGTGAAATATTCTTGGTATAGTTTCTTCGAGCAAATAAATAAAATCATCCAATTCCTCGGTGACGCCCACCAGTAAATAATTGTTTATTAAATTCTTCTTGGCTTCCGCAAGCGCCCATTTGTTTCCTGGTTTCCTAACATTGAAAAGAAAAAGATATGGTTATTCATATACTATGCATGCACTGTAACTTACCAACAGTTAGCTGCATGACCACAGAAAAATGGTATCTGTAGCCACATGTTATTTGGATTGCAATCAGGCTGTTCCTTGCTGACACATTCATCAAATGTCTAAAGCGAAAAAAAATGAGAATAAAAATATTTAAGAGTTGTAAATATAATCAAATACCATTGTGTCACCATGTTTCCTTCTGGATAAATAGGGACGATAGTTGTCACCATATCTTAGAAAATAGTAATATGATACTAATCGATCCAAAGGTTTTCTTATAATATTGATATACAGTGGTTGTTTGTAGCCAAACTTTGAGAAATCTAGGAATGCAAAATGTCCATGATACAAAGCCGGCTTCATTTTGGACCAACTTGTTATATTCTCTGCTAATTTTATTTGATTAGGTAAGGAAAGTACATGATTATTGGAAGATATATTAACATGAAGCACTCGGAATTTGTTTTTCTTGCATAAATCATAGGCTACTCCCACAAAACTGGTGGATCCAGTTTTGGGCACCCTATTGTAAACAACAACTACATCATCATTAATGCTAATATCAGTTTTGGGAGATTGTAGCTTCTCATTGGACTTCAACACTAAAAAAAATACATTAATTCTATATTCATTAATAAAAGTAGTAAACACAAGTACTTACCTAATTCATCTATTTTCCTTGATAAGTTGTGTATATACATTGATATAAGCACCAAAATAACAAATATACATAGCCATCCTAGCCTAAAATCTCTCATCACTAATTGTGCAGATATTAATAACACAATACAACAAAACAATGTTTGGACAATCCAGTAAGAACTCAATTCATTATTATAATGTAATATCAATGAGCAGATGATGCGTGCATAATAATTACATGACCACTCACCAGTTATTTATTTTTTTATTATTTACTTTTCAAATCATTCCAACCAATTCCAACTGTGATTGTTTTAAGGTGTAACTAAATGAAGTGCAGGTAGTATATTGTGATATACTACTGATTACACACCTACTAACTTAGTTGCCTATTTACAATTCAATTATTACATAAACAAATACTTTCTCATAAATTAATTGCGTTTTATTAATAAAGATTATCTTGTTGTTGATAAACAATCCCTATTTGAATTACAATACAAAGTAAGTTTGGTTGTCTATATAAATATGCAAACAGATTAAGTTTATAATAACTGTCCAATATTTATATTTTTATAAAGTAGACTTTTTACTTAATTAAGTAAAAGTTCCATGTTTAATTACAGTACTTAATGTACTTTGCTTTGAATAAAACTTTTACGATAGAACGATAGAGGCGCCACCAGATTAACAGAACATAGTACATTACTACTCCGTGATTCCCTGTCTCATATCCATCTAAAACTATATAGATGTCAGACCAATAGAAATCTTTCTTAAGATTGTCTACAGTTGCCTATATCTTCAGTATTTATAAAATATTTCTACCGATCATTTCTTTATAGGTTATAGTTTTAAACATTGGTTAAAATGGTAAGAAAAGTTTATTTGTATTTATTTAGAACCCAATATTTATCGTTTTTTAATTACAGTTGCCCTTATCTTTGTTAAGAACAGCGCAGAATCATCCTATGGTAATTATAAATAATTTACATTAATAAGAAAAAATAAGTGTTTTATACATCAATTTTAGTTGGTTGAATTAAAAAATGGAGAGACATACAATGGTCATTTAGTTAGTTGTGATAATTGGATGAATATCAACTTGAGAGAAGTTATCTGTACATCTAGGGTAATGTATAGTCAAGAAATGTATATATCTGGGTATAAATGTGTTTTTGTATTGTAGGATGGTGACAAATTTTGGAGGATGCCAGAATGTTATATTCGTGGAAGTACCATTAAGTACCTTAGAATTCCAGATGAAGTTATTGATATGGTGAAGGAAGAAACTTCAATGAAAAATAGAGGTAGAGATAACAAAGGTGGAAGAGGAGGAGGACAAAGCCAAAGGAACAGACCTGCAGCAAGAGGTAATTACATGTTTTTGCTTATATACAGCAGTAATTAACTTAATTTTGTAATTTATAGGTAATTTTGGTGGCCGTGGTGGAGGTGGACCAGGAAACAAAAGTGGAAATCAAGGTGGTAGAGGAACACTATTTAACAAGAACAAATCAAAGTAGCAAGTTATATCATTTAATAATTATTTTTTATTTTCAAAAAGATTTAAAGAATTGTTTTTCATTTTATAATATGTGCAGACTATTTATAATTATATTGATTTAATAATATAAGTAAATATATAGAAAAGTTGGCCTTGTGTTTATATTTTTTTTATTAGAAAAATAACTTTGAACTGTCAATAGTTGTTTATTTTCCCTGTGCAATACCTACACATTATCACATTCCCTGCAATTACCTCAATGGCACCACAGCCTTAAGTGAAATTCAAGTGCTTTTAATGAATGCAAATAGCTGAAGATGGCTACTTTTATCAATGATAAAACAAGACTTTTCAAAAATTTGGGAGACCCAACAGAGCTTCCAACGAAAAAGAGATCTGAAGCTAGAATAAAAGAGTATAGGTCTGCCACAGATGCGAGAGCTTGGTCTAACAATGAGCAGGAACAAAAAGAATATATTTTAGATTTGATGAATGCAGAATCACCGAAAGTATATAACCAGTATACAAAAATGATATTCAATTAAAGAAAAATATTTTAGCAACTGCAATTAGGTAAATATGTTCCAATTGAAGTACTTATTGATACGCTGCTCGCAAACAAAAATGCCGATATCAAGAAACTTGGTGACCAAATAGATAAACTCGAGAAACTTTTAAAATGTTACGACGATTTAGATCTTACGCCCGATCAACGAGCGAAATTGAATAAATTGGTATGCATTAAAATCAGATTTATCATCATTAATGAATATACATTTATATTTATCTTCGCAGAAAAGTCAAGTATACGGATCAGGTGACCATGCAAGAGATGGCGATGAAAATAGTGTTGTTTCTGAAACGCCATCCGCAGTTTCATCAAAATTGACGGCTGCGTCTGCAACATCGTCCAAAGTGGGATCTGTCGGTTCTGAAACATCGGCCAAAGTGGGATCCGAGGGTTCTGCAACATCAGCCAAAGTGGGATCCGAGGGTTCTGCAACATCGGCCAAAGTGGGATCCGAGGGATCTGCAACATCGTCTAAAGCAGAAGCCGAAGGTTCTGAAAAAGAATCTGGAACATCTTCTAAAGCAGAATCTGAAGGTTCTGCAAAAGCATCAGCAGGGTCCCAAATTTCTGGTGGATCCGAGGTTGTAGAAGATGATGTTGCAACTTTACACAAAAAATTGGAGGTAAATGGTGTCAACATTTTGCAAATTAAAGTCTAAACAAAAATGAACGTAGGATACAATTCGAGAATGCGACAAGCATAAAGAACTGGCTCGGCGCGCTATTGAGCAGCTTGAATCTATCAAAAACATCATGCAAGAAAGGGATGATCTTCAACAGAAATTAAGAGAATCTGAAGAAGAAATTCTAAAATTAAAGGTATATAAATACATTTTTTTGTAAAAATATCACTAATCATTAATGTATTGTCAAATTAGGAAAGTTTAGAAAAGAGAGAATCATGTGAAGATGAAATTAAAGAAATGGAAAATGAAGTCGAAAGATTAAAGAGCAGTGGAAAAGTGGACGAATTTGAAATAATGAAGAGAGAACTTGATGTTGTTAAAAAGACATGCAGTAAGCTTCAGAATATTAAGGAACAAAATAAAATATTAAAAGCGGAAAATGATGATTTGAAAAATCAATTGAATCCAGAGTTCAGTCCTGATAAAAAGGAAGAGGCTAAGAGTATTGATAGACTTAAAGAACATCACTCTGCTATTGCATGCATTGACTGTGAGGTTGAAAATCTTAGAGATCCGAGCGTAGTTGATGATCACGACGAAGCGGACATGAAGCAATATTACAAAGAACAAGTAGCTATTCTAAATGAGAAGGTTGATAAATTGAAGGAAGTAACTAAAGAAAGAGACCGTCTACAAGAGAGTGTTACGCGTTTAGAAACCGAATTACAAGGGTATGAAGGATTAAGCGACGAAGTAGAAAGCTTTAAAAAGAAATCGAAAATGTTAGATGATGTTTTGGAAGAACGTGAAAGCCTTCATAAAAGACTAAGTCGTATGAAAGGTATGGAAGACGAGTTATTAGAATTGAAAAGAAAAGCTGCTCGAGTCGATGAATTAGAAAGACTATTAGCCGAAATGGAAGGCAAATGCGGAGTAGACATCAGCGAAGCTGAATTAGAAGCATTAAGACTTCGGGCTCAGGAGGCCGATGTTTTACGAATTGAACGTGACAGAATGAAGGTAAAATTGGATGAACTTGGTTCAATGGATGATGAACTGAAAGAGCTAGAGAATAAGTCCAAATCAATTGAGGCACTTCAAAATGAGCGCGATCAATTGAAAGATCGATGCGCTGAATTAGAAGCAATGCTTTCAGATTATAATAATCTAAAACGACAACTCGACGAAGCCCAAGCTATGAATGATGAGAGAGATGCTTACTTGCGCAAAGTTCGAGATTGTGAATGTGTTATTGCTGATCAAGAAGAGGAAATCAATAGACTTGTATCTCACGTGGACCGTTTATCCAAAGGTCAGGAAAAAGAGCAGGTACAAAATGCATATTCGTTACTATATTAGTGTGGCAATTTTATTTTTTCTTAAAGACCAAATTAACAAGTGGTAAGTATTTTAATGAATTTATCAGTGATTGTATATGGTAAACCGAATACATTTTTGATACAATCATTTTAGGAATTGACGAAAAAGGCAATGGGTGACCTACGAGACGAACTTGATAAAAAGAACGAACTAATAGCACAATCAGAACAGCAGCTTGATACAATGCAGAGTCAATTAAGAAATACAATTGATGAAGTTTCTAATGAAACTACTGATCTCAACAATAGAATCGCCGAACTTGAAAAACAACTAGCCGAACTTGAGAAACAACTAGCTGACAAAGATTCTGAAATGGCGCAACAATTACAATCACTGCAAGAAGAAAATAAGAAATTGCAAGATATCGTTGATAAAATGCAAGAGTATAATGACAATGAAAAACTAAAGAGTATGCTTAAAAAATCAAAATTAGCAGTGCACAAAGCGGCTGACGTATTGGACACAAAACAACTGAGTGGCGTAATAGGTAATACAGACGATACCTCTTTAATTAACCGAATGAAAGACTTAGAAAAACAACTTTCCCAGGCGCAAAATGCATTAAAAGAATGTGAGAGAATGACAGCCGAAAATAAAGCTTTACGTAAACATTCCGGTGAAATACAAACGGTTGCCAAAGATCAAATACAAGATCTTGCAAATGAATTAAAATTAGCTAGGGAAAAAATAGATCAATTAACAAAGGAAAACTTAGATTTAAAGAAACATATTGACGAGCTAACTAAAGATGCTGATTCAGCATTGACCAATAAAATTAAGGAACTTGAGAAACAGCTGGATGATTCAAAAATTAATAGGAAAACAATTGATCCCACTATTGGGGGAGATTCAAATAAAATTGTGAATGAAAATGCAGATTTGAAGAAACAGATTGACGCCATGAAAAAATCAATGACCGGAGATAATGTAGATTTAATAAACGAAAATACTAAATGCAGAGATAAATTAAAAGAGTTGGAAAGACAACTCGAAGATGCCAAAATTCTTTCAAAGAAAGATCAACCAGAATTAGCAGCAGATAATGAAAAGTTGACAAAGGAATTGAATGAATTAAAAAATAAGTTGAAAGACGGTGCTAACGAATCTACATTAAAAGAAAACAATGACCTAAAAAATGAAATGGAAATGCTCAAGAAGAAATTAAAAGAGGGTGGTCATGATATCACCTCAACAAAAGGAACTGATGGTGCACAAGATTCGACTTTCAAAGAGAACGAAAAATTAAATGAAGAAAATGAATTGTTAAAGAAAAAGTTAAAGGAGGGTGGTTTACAAGATGCAACATTAAAAGAAAATGAGGATTTGAGAAAAGAACTAGAGAATCTCAAAAATTCAATAAAAGGAGGAGATGTTCGAACGTATTTGCAAAAGAAAATGCTGATTTGAAAAAAGAACTAGAGAATCTCAAAAATTCAATAAAAGGTGGAGATACTTCGAACGTATTTGCAAAAGAAAATGCTGATTTGAAAAAAGAACTAGAGGATCTCAAAAATTCAATAAAAGGTGGAGATACTTCGAACGTATTTGCAAAAGAAAATGCTGATTTGAAAAAAGAACTAGAGAATCTCAAAAATTCAATAAAAGGTGGAGATACTTCGAACGTATTTGCAAAAGAAAATGCTGATTTGAAAAAAGAACTAGAGAATCTCAAAAATTCAATAAAAGGTGGAGATACTTCGAACGTATTTGCAAAAGAAAATACTGATTTGAAAAATGAACTGGATTCATTAAAACAGAAATTGAAGGATGGAGGACAAGATGCTTTCTTAAAAGAAAATAATGAATTGAAAAAACAATTAGAAGAAGCTAATAAACAAAAAGGTGCGGGCGTCCCGGATGCAACATTAAAAGAAAATGATGAATTAAAGAAGGAACTTGAATCACTAAAGAATCAGCTAAAAGGTGATGCTCAAGGTTCATCAAAGGAAGTCGATGCGTTAAAGAAAGAACTCGATGACATGAAAAAGAAAATGAGCGCTGCACAAGGAGGCGGTAATGTTCCAGAGGCAGTTCAACAAGAAAATGATAATTTAAAGAAACAACTTGAAGAACTTAAGAAAAAATCAGGCGGTGAACCAGATACCAAAGATAAAGAAGATGTGACAAACCAATTGAAACAAGCTAATAAAGAAAATGATGATCTCAAAAAGGAAATTGAAAGGTTGCAAAAAGCTAGTCCCGATTTAACAACAAAACCAGATGCTGCTAAAGGTGGTCTAAGCGACGATAGTAGTGATTTGAAAAAAGAAATAGAAAGATTGAACAAGGTAATTGCAAGTAGTGGAAGTGATCAACAAATGGTAAATCAGTTGCAAACAGCATATGCTGAAATTGACGATTTAAAGAAAGAATTAGAAAAAATGAAACAGTTAGTACATTCAACTGGTGATAATGCAGCAAAACAGCAATTGGACGACCAGGCAAAGGAAATTGATAGATTGAAAAAGGTACTACAACAGGGTGGAATACCAGATGATCATGATACGAGAGAAAAACAAGAACTATTGGATATGATACAGCAATTGGAAAACCAACTAGGTGATATGGGGCGAGACGAAAAGAAAGATAAAGGAAAAGATGACAAAGATCCAGAAAATGCACAACTAAGATCGAAAATAAAGGAACTGGAAGATAGATTACTAAAAACTAAAGGTAACTTATCAATAAAACACGAGTTGATATTATTTTAAAATAATTTTTATATTTAGATTGCGAGTCTCAACTAAAGAAATTGGAAACAGAATTAGAAAAACAAAAACAAGATAGCTTAGAAACAATAAAATCATTGAAAGCACAATATGATAGGGACGTGAAGAATTTGCACAATAAATATAACGACGGAATCCAGAAGTTACAAGCATCTCATGAAGAAATTTTGAGTAGGGGGAATCAAGATCTAGAAAGAGAAAATGATGAACTAAAACGACAGTCGAGACAAAGTAAATTAATGCTCGATGCTCTCCAATCTAAATTGGATGACAAAGATGATGTAAGTATCTTCTGAATCATAAATACGCAATAAATATTTAATATTCCATTGTAGAAAAAAATGGCAACATTATCAAAAAGTGTACAAAAATTGGAAATCGAACCGTGCGATTGCGGAGACGATAGGTTCCGTAAACTGCTGAAGAAAATTCTTAACGATGGCATAGAGGTTCGTACTGGTTGTATGTTCTTAGTTTTAGAAAAATGAAATTGCCGCACTATATTTTGTTTATATCGTTTGAGTCCGTATTTTGAGATAGTCTGTATTTCTAACGCGTTCTTGCCATATTTGCTTTGCAGTCCTTGTCCTTTGATGATCTACAGTTTATGCATACAAAAGTTTGCGATGCCACATCTAAAATTATCGATAAAAATAGATCCAGTATCCAAAGAACGGAAATTACAGAATCTTACAGAAATATGCCGAGTGTAGCTGACACTGACTATAAAAGGCGGCAAAAGGTTGCTCAAAGTCAAGGTATATAAATATATCCATGACACATGCTGCGTCATAAATAATAACGTATTTTCTATTCTATAGTTGCTAAACTTCAATTGGAAGTGGCTCTTGAGAGACAACGATTGGAGGATTTGAGGAGCACTTTGGATTTGGAAAAACAAACAAACAAAGGACTAGAGGAACAAGTCAAAAAGAAATCGAAAGCTGTATCATGTTTTATGTGATGATAGTTTTTGAATTCTAAAAATGCATGAAATTATTAAAAATTCTTCTATTTTTTCAGGAATGCATTAGAAGAAGAGCAGTCTAAAAGTAAATTGCTAGAAATGAATTTGCAGCAAGAAAGGGATAAAAGTAGGCAATTAAGCAGTATATTAAGTAATCATGATGTAAGTGGACATTGATTTATGGGTAACACAAATAATTTTTCAAAAATTACAATTTCAGCAAACTTGTTCGTGTATGCATAAAGACAGAACGACGTCTCGACGAAGACCATCTGAAAGGGTAATTTATATTTTGAAGCGGTTTTGCAGTTTATTCTTTAAATTATTTAAATTTTAGGATCGTTCTAGAGAGAGATCCTCGGTACTTCAATCTGCACCAAGGCGTATTTCAAAGAACTAACATTACAACTGTGTGCGTATTAAAATAAAATGTGTGGAATGTGTAAAATGTCTTTCAATTTTTGCGTATTTGGTTAACAATTAAATAAAGATATTTTAAATGCAATTAATATTTTTTTTACTTAACGTATCACATTTAAAATATACATAAATATTTACTCTTGTGTGGAAATACCTGTTCAGTCATAACAAATCACATTCTTATCTTTCCTGGAACAACCGCGTTATTAAGATTGCTTATTATACACTCACTCAAAGTGAACCATGTTTGATATAAACTTCCTTATCAGTATGAATCAATATGTATACGTGTTCGCAATGAAACTCGATCTATAGAAGCATATACGATTAGTAAAATGTACAAGTACATAATTGCATGTGCTATTTTCTTGTGCCTGCAATTTAGCAGTGCATCAGATATTTGCAGTACCAAAAGTAATTGTGCCGAATGTTTAAGTGAATTTATGTGTGTGTGGTGCGCGTCGACAGATAAAGCGGTATTATGATATAACTGAGAAATAATGAAATAATCTTATTAGAATCTACTTTCAGTTCGATGAAAGGCGATGTATAGAAAAAGAAAATTCCGATGATTGCCCTGAAAAGGATTTGATTAATCCTAAATCGCATGTAAAAATCCTCAGTGATAAGCCTCTGCAATATGAAGTCAATGTTGAACAGGTGCAGATAAAACCTCAAAACATTTCCCTTAAATTAAGAGTTGGCGAAGAATACAAGTTTAAATTTGAATATGTTCGAGCGAATAATTTCCCAATAGACTTGTATTACATGATCGATCAGTCGGCGTCGATGGCCAAGCATATTGAACGACTTGCAGCTCTAGGGGACGAGTTAATTGCTTTGATGAAAGATTTAACGTCTGATTTCAAAATAGGTTTTGGTTCTTTTGTGGATAAAGTGACCTTACCGTATTCCAGTACAGAACCCAATAAGTAATAAAAAATCGTAAATTTCGCTGTTTAAATATTTAATGTGTTTTTCTAGATTGATAAAAGCGTGCGAAGGATGTAACAGACCATACAGTTTTATAAACCACATGACTTTGAGTGATGGAGACGATTTCGTTGAGGAGTTAAGTAAAACGTTGAAATCTGGCAATATAGATAATCCGGAGGGTGGATTCGACGCTTTGATGCAGGCCATGGTTTGCAAGGAAGAAATTGGTTGGAGAGATTCAGCGAGGCATCTGATCATATATTCCAGCGACGAGAGTTTCCACATTGCAGGGGATGGTAAATTAGCGGGTGTGGTCGAACCGAACGATGCCCAATGCCACATGACTAATCACGAATACACCGAATATTCCAAATATGATTATCCTTCTGTATCGCAAATCGGCAAAGTTGCCTTGGACAAAGATATAAACATTTTCTTCACGGTCGCTAATTTCTCGGAGCACTATGAAGAAATCAAAAATTTTATACCGAATTCGCAAGTAGATAGTTTAAGGGAAGATTCGAAAATCAGCCAAATGGTTGCTGATTTCTGCAAGGTACCATAGTCTCAACTCAACAGACAATCAGTAACTAATATAGTTCTCTTTAACTTTCTAGACACTAACGGCAAATAAAGATTTTAAGAAGATCCAAGGAAATGAAGGTGGCGAAGTAGAATTCAAGATTCTGAAAATATCCGGAAATTGCACGAACACTGCGAACGGAGTTTGCGAGAACATACACACCGGAAATAAACTGGAGATTGAAGCAAGTATTAAACCGTTGCGTTGCTTGAAAAACAAGATGCTGATCATAAATCCCGGAGCTCCGAGTGAAAAATTAACCGTAAACATTGATGTAACATGCGAATGCGACGATCTTTGCAGCCGAGAAGAAAAGAGCGAAAAATGCAACAAACACGGTGCACTTTTTTGTGCGACTTGCGATTGCGACCAAAACTACTCTGGAAGAGAATGCGAATGCTTGGACACGGAATTGCCATCGAAAAACTCGACCGCTTGTGAACGCGACAATAAAATTTGTTCTGGTCGAGGGTATTGCGAATGCGGCATATGCAAATGTAAAATGTGAGTTTCTTTCAAATACAACTTTAATTGAACTTTAATTATTTTTCAGGCAATAGCGGTTACCAAGGAAGATATTGCGAATGCGATAATAATTCTTGCGAGAACAACTGCAGTGGAAATGGCATTTGCGAATGCGGTAAATGCAAGTGCAACCACGGTTGGTCGAGCAAATCTTGCGACTGTCCTGTTTCTATAGAAAGCTGCTCGTATCAGAAAGAGATTTGCAACAATAAAGGACAATGCAAATGCGGCAAATGCCAATGCGAAGAAGGATATTACGGCACTTACTGCAACGAATGCGCAAATTGCATTGATTCCAGGTATGCATGTTATTATAGCATTTATTTATAATTATTAAATATCGTCTTTAAGGTGTACTGAAATTAAACCATGTGTCGAATGCACAGTCTTCAATACTGGTATCTACAAGGATGAGTGCGAACAACAGTGCAGCAACTACAACATAACAACAGTGGATGAAATAACTGATGTCGATTCTAGTACTGTTAAAGTATGCAAGATTGAAATCAACGAGTGTTTGATGATTTTCAAATACTTTCAAAATAAACAATACTCCATCGAAGTAGAATCGAAACTGAAATGCAAAACTTTGGATATTATGCGTAATATACACATAAATTTACAACGTATTAAATAATTATTGTATTCCATTTTT